TTTCACGCAAATTCTTCTGCTAGTTGGGGTTTAGTCCAAATCTGCATCCTTTCCTTCAAGGCTCAGGGGTCCAAGATTATCTTCTGTGTCTGTATTAATTGGTTTCCCTTTTCTTTGTTGAAGAGGGTCTGTGCAATCCTTCTGCCTAGTCCGCCATCTTGCCCCACCTCTCCGCTTTCCCCAAAAGCATTTCTTGAAAGACTCTTGTTTCCCATTGGTTTGTCTCAGGAGCCTTGTCGACAATGAATTGACCAAAAATGTAAGGCTTTATTTCTGGACTCTCAGTTCTATTCCATTACTCTGTATGTCTGTACTTATGCTAATGTCACACCGTCTTGATTACTATTGTTCTGAAGTAAATTTTGAAATTGAGAAATGTTAGTTCCTCTACTTTTATCATGTATCTGATAAGGGGCTTATATCCAGAATATACAAGAAACTCTTACAACTTAACAATAAAAAGACAAATAAACCAATTTCAAATGGGTTCATACCCACTAGGATGGCAATAATAAAAAAAGACAGATAACAAATGTTATTTTCTTTTTCAGGGTTGTTATGACCATTCTGGGTCCCTGCATTTCCATGTGAATTTTAGGATCAACCTGTGTTAGAAGTTTTAGGAACATGGAGAGAGTATGAAATAATAGTCTTGGTATGTTGGGATTATAAATGGTTAAGCAAAATATGTTGTCATTAGAAAAAAAACTTAAAGATGCATTTAGAATTTGATCAAGAACTCAAAACGAGACCAAATCAGCATGAGTGTGTGTTTTTTCAGCCATGCTTAGTTGCATGGGAGCAGGTATGTGGTAAGCAGAATTGATTTTAAACAGAGTGATTCTGTCATGCCAACATGAAGAAGGAAGAAAACACAACAACAAGGGAATTGTGGGATAATAATGGGACCTACCTCACAGAGTTTCTATGAGGATTCAAGTCATATATGTGAAATGGTAGCCACCCTAGGTACATGAAAAGTGCTAGGTAAATGTGAGATATAATCATTGTTACAACTTTATCTCAGAAATAGTGTCTCTCTTTCTTACTAAGGTTGACTTTTCTGCTTTGGCTCCTGATCTAGGTCCTTGCTCCATCAACATTCTCCTTTATCAGTTGAGGAATCTCTTTTTTTTCAAAATAAAATATAAACCTAAACAAAACAAAACAAAACACATTTTCTCTCTTCCTTGATCATTAGTGACTGCTGTTTCTCAAAGAATATGAAGTATTATTTATACTTTGTTTCCCCCCTGTTTATTCCTTTCTTAATCCACTGTGATCTGACTTCTAATCCTACTATTCTATCAAAACTGCTCTTGAGAAGGTCAACGATGTCCTCTAAGCTTCCAAGGCTAATAGAAACTTTTGAGTTATGACTTTATTTGATGTTGTAGTGATTTAGTAAGATCAAATGTATAAAATCTTTAGAATTACGATTGACGTATAATTGTTAGCTATGGTTATCATTTCATGCTTTTGCCTTAACATTTCTTTTTTCATTTTCAATTTCCATTGCAACATAACTTCCTATTATTCACTATCTCTCTTGCCTGTTTTTTCTCATGTATTTTTCTCTTTGTCTTTGCAGCTGTCATATATGCTATAATTTATCTTCAGCCTTAACTGCTTTGCACTCTACAAACACACATTCTATTGATGACCTCATCCCTTTTTCACTGTTTCAACTATCATCTCTATTGTCGTGGTTCCTAGATATTAATTTGTAGATTATATTTGGATTTTCTCTCCTTTTCAGTTCAAACATTGCAATGGGCCAGCAAGCAGTGTTGACTTTACTGAGTGTCATCACTCAGCTAGACTATAATCCTATAAAATAAAATATATAGCTCCATTAAAGTAATTGATTGAACTAAGGTGCTGTGGGAGCTCTGGTAGCATAGTGCCTAAGGCACTTGACTGCTAACCAGAAGGGCTGGCAGTTCAAACCCACCAGCCACTCCTTGGAAGGAAGGTTGGGCAATCTACTTCCATAGTGATACCACCTTGGAAACCCAAGAAGGGGTTTCCATGAGTCAGGGCAGACTCAACGGCACATAACAACAACAAAAGGTGCTGCACTCTGCAAAGAAGAGTGAAAGATGAGCAAAACAATTATTGTTCTCAAAGAATTAATGATTTAATCAAACAGACTTATAAATGGAAAATCCTATACCATGTAATATGTATAGTAAAAAGTGCTGTAGGAGCTCAATACCAGGACATTCAGACAAGGCTTTCTGGAGGAAATTTGTTTCATCTGAATCTTGAGATTAGTTAGTCCCCCTGCCTCAAGCTTCTCTTCATTCTAATCAATATGCTGCACTGCTATTAATTAGCTACCGTTGGTTCTGAACCAGATCACTTCATTCCTCTGTGTTTAACCTTTATTAGTTCACTATTACTATAGTTCGGCTGACTAGTTGAGAGTTTTACTAGCATAAGACATAAGGCTCTTTATGATTTCTTTCAAAAATGCTTTTGTAGACTCATTGCTGACTGTATTCCAAACTATTTCTACTCTGTGCAGGAAGCATATTTTACATTGTGATAAGGCACACACATACACGATATGTGCACATATAAGAAAAGTGTCCCAAACAGTTTTTACCCTTGTTTCATGAAGTATACACTGGTGTTTTCTGTTCTATTTTATTTCATTGTATTTCATTAAAAATGGTGTTGTGCCTCTCTTTAAGTTGATTTCATGACTGATTAATGAATCTTGACCTGCAGTTGAAAAATTATGTGAAAATCCTAAGTAAATCTGATGGTTTTGGAAACTTTAAATGAGGAAAACCACAAAAGCCAACTCAGTGGCATTGCCTTGCATTTTTAAATGATTATTTCAGTATTTCAAAATCATTTAACCAGTCATCTATCTAGAGCATCATCTGGAGACTCAGGGATAAGGGGTTTCTAAGACTCTTTTCTGGGGATCCCTGAAGTGTTAACTGTTTTCATAATAATCATTTTCATTTACTTTTGTCACTTTCGTTATCTTAACAATATATGATAGAGGTTTTCAGAGGCTATATGTTGTGTGATGAAATTATTGCTTTGATGGCTAATGAGAATATGTCTTTGTGTTTTCAGTTTTTTCTCATTTTTATTTCTAGTGTTATATATATCTGTATCTATATATCTATAATAGATGATATCGAGTGATATAACCTATATAACAAAAGCTTTTAGGAGTCCTCAATAATTTTTTAAGAGTGTAAAGTGGTCTTGAAACAAACAAACAAACGAATACTATTAAAGGAAATGCAGTTTGACAAGTTAAGCTTTTCTTAATATTATACTATCTCTGACAGTCCGGGTGGGTAAGTCAGGCTTTTCATCACGAAGGTTCTATGATTTCTGGTTGTTTATAAATAGAGAACACCTCTGGCTAATTATAATTGCTAGGATGGTACATAGGAAAGAAGTGACATTGTGATACTTTGAGTCTCTGAAATACTGGTGTCTGTATTAACTTTAAATGCACTAATTTACACAAGTTGACAGTTCATAAATGTAAATTCTATGGCTCTTACAGGAGCTCTGGTGGTGTAGTATTTGACTGCTAACCAGAAGGCTGGTGGTTCAAACCCACCAGCCACTCCTTGGAAGGAAGACTGGGCAATCTACTTCCATAGAGATACCACCTTGGAAATCCAAGGAGGGGTCGCCATGAGTCATATTTTGTATTGAATTACTGGGCTCTGAATTTTATATTCTTTGCTATAATGCTACACAGGATATAGGAAAAAGTGTGTGTGTATAGTGAAAGAATGTATTTATATATATATATATATATATATATATATATATATAATTATTTTGGCTTGTCTGAAAATGGTTGTTAAAGTGTGTTATAACTTTGTTCTCTGGCAGCTTTTGAAGATTTATTGGCTAGCCACTCATTCAGAAGAACCTGGGTTGGTGTCTTTGGTGGGATGTAGTGCCTTGGCTAGCTTTTGTGGTCAGTTTGCCAGCTACCCCCTGAACCTGGTGAGAACTTGCATGCAGATTCAAGGTAAGTTTTTTCAAGAAGGATCAGTTTGGTAATAATTGAAAGCTTAACAACCCATGAACAGTTATATCCCTTTATTTATTTAGGACTTATTTAATTTTTCCCAGTAATATTTTATAATCTTCAGTGTAGAAGTGATATATATCTTTTGTTAGGTGTATTCCTAGGTATTTGATTTTTTTTTTTGGTGTTGTTAAATGGTATTTTACTCAAAATTCTTCTAAGTGTGCGTGTGTTATTTTGCCAGATTTTAGAAATAAAATTGATTCTAGAATATTAGTAACATATTTTCAGCAATCTTGCTAAATATATGTATTAATTCTAATTGTTTATCTGTTAAATTTTTTTTTTTTTTTTTTTTTTTGGAATTTATGTATACACGAGGTAGCTGCTGGTACCCTGTGCAAATGGTTAAGCACTCAACTATTAGGCAAAAGATTGGTGGTTTGAACCCACCCAGAGGGCAAAAGATTGGTGGTTTGAACTTGGCCAGAGGTACCTCAGATGACAAACCTGGAGATCTGTTCCTTACAGATCACAACCTTGAAAACTTGATGGAATAGTTGTATTGTGGACACATGGGCTCACCATAAGTTGGAAGACTTGAGAGCAACTAACAACAACATGTGTACTTATTCACCGACTTCTGTGAATAACAAAAGCTTGGTTATTTCCTTTCCAGTCTTTGTATACTTTTTATTTAGTTTTCTTGCCTTATGGAACTGGCTAGGACCTCTAGTACAGTGCTACAGTGCTAATGCTAAGGGTGGGTATCTTCATCTCATTCTTACTCAGAGGAAAAGTCTTCAGTGTTTCACCATTGAGTACGATCCTCGCTGTAGGGTTTTTTTTTTTTTTTTTTTTTTAATGTACTCTTTAAATGGGGTATTTTACCCTTTAAAATATTCCAGATGAAGAAAGTTCTCTTTTATTCTTAGTTTGGGTAAAGGATTTTAAAATTATGATTAAGTGTTCAGTTTTACCAAAAGCTTTATTCAAATGTATCAAAAACAATCACATGGTTTTTCTCTTTTCTTCTGTGAATGATGCTTATTGATTTTCAAATGTTAAAAGCACCTTGAAACCTTGGAATAAATTTCACTTGGACATAATGCCTTACCATTTTATATGTTGTTGGATTTGATTGATAATATTTCGTTTAGGATCTTTGCATCTATCTTCATGAGAAAGTTTGATTATAATTTTCCTTCCTGATAATGTTCTTGTCAGGTTTTGGTATTAAGGTTATGTTGGCTGCATATAAACAGAAAATATACCATCTTTTATATTCTTTGGAAGAATTTGTGTACAATTGGAATTTTTCCTTAACTATTTGGAAAACTTCACCAGTGAAGCCATTTGGGCCTGATGGAATTTTTTATGGGAAGCTTCTAATTACAGATTCGAGTTTCTTAAAAGGTATAAGACTGTTCAGGCTTTATACTGTTTCCTCTGTTAGTCTTGTTTCAAATAATTTGTCCAGTTCATCCAAATGTTTAAATTTGTCATAAAGTCATTCATAATATCCTTTTAAATGACTGTAGGTTTATAATGATGTCTTCTTTTCCATTTCTGGTATTAGTAATTTGTGCTTTTTATTCTCTTTTCTTATCAGTCTTGTCAGAGTTTATCAATTTATTAATCTTTTGACTGCTGATTTTTCTCTACTGTACATTTATTTCATTGATTTTTACTCTGACCTTTATTATTTCCATTCTCCTACTTTTAGTCCTTTGGATTGAAAACTTAGATCAGGGCTTGTCAAACTGTGGACTACTGGCCAAATCTGGCTTGCCATCTATTTGTATAAATAAAAATTAACTGGAACACACCCACAACTATTTATTTATGTTTTGCCTATGGCTAATTTCATACTATAATGGCAGTGCTGAGTAGCTGCAACAGAGACTGTATAGCCAGCAAAGCTGAAGATATTTACCATCCAGCCTATTATAGAAAAAGTTTTCCGAACCCTGGCTGTGATCATTGGTTTTCAACCTTTTTTTTTCAGTTTCTAATACATGAATTTAAGCTCTAAATTTCCCTTTAAGTTCAATATCTTTAAATAGCTCTATGGGAGCTCTGGTGGTGTAGTGCCTAAGGCATTTGACTCTTAACCAGAAGGCTGGCAGTTCAAACCCACCAGCCACTCCTCAGAAGGAAGATTGGGCAATCTACTTCCATAATGATGCTGCCTCAGAAACCCAAGGAGGGGTTGCTATAAGTTGGCAGTGAGTTGGTTGGTTGGAATAGCTATATGGCTATTCAGCTTTACTATTATTTCTTGTGTCATCTCTCTTAATATGTCTTTTAAAGTTTATATTTCATCTAAGTTATTTAATATATTGACATAAAGTTGTGCTTAATGTTCCCTTATTATTAACATATGTAGAATTTGTAGAGATGTGTCCTTGATACTCATAGTTTGTGTTTTCTCTTTTTTTTCTTCATTGGTCTAGTTACAGGTTTATCAATTTTATTAAAAATTTAAAAGAAAATAGCATTTGGTTTCATTTTTTTCTATTGTTTTTATTTTGTTGATCTCAACCCTTTATTATTTCCTTCTACTTTTACTTTTGGATTATTTTGCTCATTTCTGTAGTTTCTTAAGATGCAACTAAGTTTTGGGTATTAAAAAATGCTTTCTTGTTTTCTAATACAAACATCTAAAACTATTTTATTTATTTATAGGCATGATCTTAGCTATGTCCTACATATTCTGATATACTTTAATTATCATCCAGTTAAAAATGTTTTCACATTTCCTTTGCAATTTCTTCTTTGATCTACGTGCTACTTAAAAACATTATTTGATCTCCAAATATTTGGGTATTTCTCAGTATCTTTTTGTGCTTGACTTGTAATTTAATTCCATGTGGTCAGAGAATATAGTCTGTATAATTTCAATCATTTAGAATTTATTGACTTTTTTATGGCCCAGGATATAGTTTTTCTTGGTGGATTTTCCATATGCAGTTGAAGATAAAGGGTATTCTGGTATTCTGTTGTTGGGTGTAGTGTTCTATAAATGTCATTTGATCATATTAATGAAATTTTCTCTATATTACTAATTTCTGTTTCCTTATTTTATCAATTGCTATGAGAGGGGTGTTGATATTTCTGTATATAGTTGTGGATTTATCTTTTTTATTTTATCAGTTTTTGCTGCATGTATTTTGAAGCTTTGTTATTAGGTACACACATGCTATGGTTGTTATGCCATCTCGAATCAATCTTAATATTATAACAGATCTTCTTTGTCCCAAAGTATTCTTCATCTAATATTAATACAGCCCTTCCAGCTTCCTTATGACTAATGTTTGTGCAATATTTCTTTATCCACCCTTTTACTTTTAACTTATTGAAAAAAAATTTTTTTTCACTGCCATAGAGTCAATTTTAACTCATAGCGACCCCTCCTTGGGTTTCCGAGGCAGTATCTCGATGGAAGTAGATTGCCCAACCATCCTTCTGAGGAGTGGCTGGTGGTTTTGAACTGCCAGTCTTCTGATTAGCAGTCAGATGCCCTAGGCACTATGCCATCAGAGCACACAACAATTGGCTTATTAGTTACAACTTCATGTTTTGTTTTTTTTTCAGTGGTTGCTCTATGGGTTATAGCATGCATTTTATTTATTTATTGTTGTGCTTTGGGTGCACTTTTACAAAGCAAACTTGTTTTACATTCAACAGTTCATGCATATCTGGTTTCACAGCCTCCATTATTTTCCCCAACCATAAAAAAACTCTCCTGCCCTCTCCTCCCTGTGACCACCCCCTCCCTGTGCCCTTCTTATCGATGCATTCCTGTCTGTCCAGCTTTCCCTCTATGTGAATGCTGCCCCTTTGGTGTCTCAGGGCTGATTGATCAAGGGGTGCATTATCCTAGAGTAGGGGGGTGCATTGACCTGGGGTAGGTGTTCTGTATGTAGGTCTTTCTACTGTTGAGCTAAGAACCAATCCATGTAAGCGTGTCCATTTCTAGGCCCAAAGAGAACCCAGGGCTATAGTCTCAGGGGTTCTACCAATCTCTTCCCAACCAGAAAGTCTGGTCATTTTTGTGTTTTTGAATTTTGTTCCACACTTTTCCTCCCACTCTATCCAGGATCTCCAGATTTGATCCCTTTCCGAGAGGTTGGCATTGGTAACTGGGCACCATCTAGTTCTTCTGGTCTTAGGGTCATGGAGGCTGTTCTGGCTACCTAGTGCCACTCTGACAGGAATATACCACAAATGGGATGGCTTGAACAAACAGGAGTTTATTCTCTTACAGTTCAGGAGGCTAAAGTCTCTAGGGGCTGGGTGAAAGTCCCTTGTCCCTCAACCTTGGGCTTCAGCTCTGCCTCCTGCTCCCAGCCCACTGGTGCGAGAGGCTTTTCTTCATTCACCTGTTGGCTGCTGAGGCTGACAAGCCCAAGGTTGGCAAGTAATAAGGCACAGTCCCTATGTGGTTACCAAACCACCTGGCAGGCCATTAATTCAAGTCCATTAAAAGTCCCGACTGGCAGAGCATGGCAGGCTGCTGAACAAGGACTCAGCTACATGCAGGGTTCAAGTGTGCCATCAGCTAGAGACCATTCCCAAAGCTGTTTCTTATGTACAGGAAGCAGACCACATCCCTAAGGCAGCTACTCAACTGCTCACAGTAGATTCCACCATGGAGTTGATTACCAGTCTCATCATGAGGAATGCTACATCCAGCTGTCTAGCCACTCAACCAGGCCCAGCCAAGTTGACACACAAACTTAATTACCATGGAGGCTGAGGTCCTCATGGTCCATATTATTATCTTTGGACTAATTATTTCCAGATGACTCTGATTTTCTTCACTCCTCTTTGCTCCAGATGAGAGGAGACCGATAGTTGCATCTTAGCCGCTTGAAAGCTTTTAGACTCCGGTCCTACTCACCAAAGTAGGTTGTAGAACAAAATTTTTATGAACTATGTGTGCCAATTGACCATGATGTCCCCTGAGACTATGGTCATGAGCCTGCAGGCCCAGTGATTCTCTCTCACCGTTTATATACATAAACAAAGCACACCCACTCCTATTGATTCCTACTCATAGCAACCCCTGTTGGGTTTCCAAGGCAGTAAATCTTTATGGAAGTAGATTGCCCAGTCTTTTTTCTGCAGAGTGGCTGGTGGGTTTGAACCACCAACCTTCTGGTTAGCAGTCAAATGCCTTAAGCACTATGCCACCAGAGCTCTCTCTCTCTCTCTGTGTATACACACACATATCTATCTATCTATCTATCTATCTATGACTCATAGCAATCCCTCCTTGGGTTTCTGAGGTGGTATCTCTAAGGAAGTAGATTGCCCAGTCTTCCTTCTGAGGAGTGGCTGGTGGGTTTGAACTGCCAGCCTTTTTGTTAGCAGTCAAATGCCTTAGACCCTACACCACCAGAACTCCTATACACACACACACACACACACACATATATAAAAGAGCTTTTGGTACATATATAATACATACTTTCACATATAATGTGAAAAGCTCATGATGGTAGACTCTCATCTTTTTGACTATTGTTGCCTATATTTTACTTTCACATTATAAACTCCACAATATATTATAATTTGCTTTTGATAATTATCTCTTAAAAAAAACACCACCAAACTCACTGCTGTCAAGTCAATTTCAACTCATAGAAACCCCACCTTGGGTTTCTGAGGTGGTATCACTATGGAAGTAGATTGCCCAACTTTCCTTCCAGGGTGTGGCTGGTGGGTTTGAACTGCCAGCCTTCTGGTTAGCAGTCAAATGCCTTAGGCACTATGCCACCAGCACTCCCAATTATCTCTTAAAGTGTTTTATATTTATAAATGCCCAGCACTTATATTTTCCACAAGTTCAATTAATAGCTTTGTTTTATTATTAACTCCTAAAACTCATCCAATTAAATAATAAAAATTTTATGAGTATTTGGTCATATCTTTATTATAGCACTTAGGTTGAATTTTGTTTACTTACCTAAAGCACACTAGACAGTGAAATACTATGAGATTAGGTTCAATGGCCTTTATTTTTAATCTCTAGCATTTAGCAAAATGCATGTACATTGTCCAGTACAAAAAGAAATGTTTTTGTATAAAATAAAGTAACATAATAAAATGTATTTGAGAGTGCTATTTTAAGAGCTAAGTTAACTTTACAGTCTGTGTTTGGGATTTAACAGGAATTCATTTAAAAACATTGATCCAAACCTGTCATTAAACTGTGTCACAAATATTCAAAGAACATGACCTGAGATGGAAGATAGAAAACTTTAGTGCTATCAATTATAGAAGTAAGTTTTTATATAATCCCTCCAGTTTGCCTACCATTCTTTGTGACTGAATTTTAGATCTCAGGCTCACAAAAGAGCCAGAGAAGGTGCAATCAGAGAGGCCTACAAGTGGCAGAAATATGTGTTGTCCCTGAGGTTAAAGAAAAGGAGTTTCAGTACAGAGAGAGCGGTCAACAGTGGTCTTAACGGGTCGGACGATAAATGAGGATTTCCAAGTGTTCTCTGGATTTTGTGACAAGGAAGTTGAGAAAGGCAGGTGGTTGTGGCTGAGGTAAGGGTCTGGGAGAAATGGGGGACAGTATAAGGAAAAAGAGGAGGTCTGGTAGTGTAGTGTCTAAGGCACTTGACTGGTAACCAGAAGGCTGGCGGTTCAAACCCACCAGTCACTCCTCCGAAGGAAGGTTGGTCAAACTACTGTAACTGTCTCGGAAACCCAGGGAGCGGTAGCTATGAGTCGGGTCTGACTCGATGGCACATTAACAACAACAACAACATGAGGTAAAAGAGATGAGTTCTTGGAAACAACATAGACTCAGCGAGGCAGCTGAAGAAAGAGGAACAAAAGCTGAGGCTAATCCAGGAGGATCCTTTCTTAGGGCTTCTCTTGCAGTATCAGTGGGTTTTGGATCCCGAGGAGCTGACCTTTCCTAGGATGAGCAACTGGCACCTGGGCAGCACGCACTCACGTCAGGAATGCAGGTCGGATCCAGTCCTGCAACTTTCTCGCTGCAGGCACCGAGTTTGCGCTAGGAGATTCTATGCATTCAAGTGCTCTTTCGACATATCCTGGAAAATGCTACCCTTCCCCGAGACCCTCTGGAGCATCAGGCCCATAGGCCTCGACCTGCCTGAGTACCCGTCACCGCCCATCTCGGCCCCGCAACTTTCAACTTCCGGGGCGGGACAGTTCCCTCGTGATGCATCCGCCCAGGTTCTCACGAGGCGGCGCTCCAGCGGCTCCACCGAAGATCCTGTCGGCGGCACCCAGGAGTCCATTGGCTTGGGTCCCCTGGCCCCGGTCGGCTCCAAACCGCTGCAGCACCATCAGACAGTTGCCGTAGACACACTGACGGCGCCGTCTTGCGCAGGCCGGGCGTCCTCGTGCGTCGTCGAAGCGGCGGCAGGTGGCTCGGTGCTTGGGTGGGAAGCCCTCTCTTGGAGGCGAGGTCGCAAAAGTGGTCCCTGCCGCTGTGGGCCAGCGCCCGAAGGGCCATGCTGCGCTGGCTGCGGAGTTTCTTGCTGCCCCGGGCGGCTTGCCAAGAAGACGAGTCCTACAGCCTCTACGAGGCCCTCTTCGATAAGCTAGACCACGACGGGAACGGGGTGGTGGACATCGTCGAGCTCCAGCAGGGGCTGAAAGGCTTAGGTTCCTGGTTTATTGTGGGCTCAGAGCAGGTGAGCGATCAACAGAATGCGACGTCGGGAGTCTGGAAAAACGTTGAATAGGGGGTGAAACCAAACTTGCCCTTTGCGGAGCTCCCTTCAAAATCTATGGAATAAGGGTGCGTGTGAGTCTGATCACACAGAATAACGCAGCCCAGTGAAACTTGTAAATTTTGTTCTTAAATGGTGACAGTGACAAGCACCTTCTGGTATATTTGGGAACTGCTGAGTGGGTTTCTGGTGACTCAGTGAACATTTACTGAACCTACACAGTGTTAGGGGTTATATTAGCCATCTCAGCTCTCAGAAAGTTTGAAGAGCCAGGAGAAGGTGCTTCAGGGTCTTAATTAAGTGACAGGGACAGAGCTTTCATCTTTCTGCCATTCGCCTGAAGAGTTTTGGGAGAATCAGACCTTGATCCTTGGGTTTACACTTGTTTTAGTACCTCCCCTAAATTAGGGATTTCTCACACATGGGGTGGCCATGAATCAGAATGGACTGGGCAGCTGAAAACATGGACAACAACTGGCACCCCTTTCCCCTCCCTCCCCCCTTTTTAAAAATTGTGATTTGAATGAAAGTTTACAGGGCAAATTGATTTTCCATTCAACTTTTCATACACATTTGGTTTTGTGACATTGATTGCAATCCCGTCCAATGTGACAGCACTCTTCCCACTTCCTTCCTCCCTGCTTCTCCTTTCCGTTTGTCCTTTTCTTCCTTCTGAGCTTTATGCCTGGGCCAAAGCTGCTCTTTTGATCTCATATGGCCGGTTCTTCTAGTGTTATTGTTCACCTTATAGGTCTGTCTGTTGCTTGGCTGAAAGTTGAGTCATTGGGATGAGTTCAATTCCAGGCTTGAAGGATGACTAAGGGCCCCAGTATTGGGGGTTCTACCAGTTGCTATCAGGCCAGGAAACCTGGACTTTTTTTTTTTTGAGTTTTGTTCCAAATTTTTCTCTCACTCTAGGACCTTCTATTGTGATCCATTTTAGAGTGGTCATTAGTGGTATCCAGGAGCTCTGGTGGCATAGTGCCTAAGGCATTGGACTGCTAACGAGAAGACTGGCAGTTGAAACCCACTGGCCACTCCTCGGAAGGAAGGTTGGGCAATCTACTTCCATAGTGATAACTGCCTCGGAAACTGAAGGATGGGTCACCGAGTCGGCTCCAACTCCACAGCAGTGAGTGAGTGAGTAGTGGTAGCCAGGCACTTCTGTTTCTTCTGGTCTCAACGTTGAGGAGGCTGAGGTTTGCTTGGTCCAGTTAGTCCTTTGGACTATGTGTCTTTGATTTTCTTACTCTGCTTTGTTCTAGATGGAAAGAGACCAATAGTTTGCACCTTAGATGGCCACTCGCTAGCTTTTAAGACCTCAGTCACTACTCACCACAATAGGATGTAGGACATTGTTTTTGTGAACTATGTAATGCCACTTGAGTTAGCTGTCCCCCAAGACTATATAGTCCTAGCCCACAGGCTCAGTTATTTATTACCTCAAGGTATTTGGTTATGGCTAAGAAGTTTTCATAACTTTGTCCCCTGATTGTTGTACTATATACATGAATATATTTTTATATATATATAAAAAACAAACCTAACTCACTGCTGTTGAGTTGGTTCCAACTCATAGTGACCCCTCCTTGGGTTTCCAAGGCAGTATCTCTATGGAAGTAGATTGCCCAATCTTGCTTCTGAGGAAGTAGCTGGTGAGTTTGAACTGCCAGCCTTCTGGCACTATGCCACCAGAGCTCCTATATTTATAGCACATACAAATATGTATATAGAAATGTTCTCTGCTAAACCTATATATGATTGTGGGTATAGTCCTGTTCACTTACTCATATCGATTCAGCTTGCCTCTCTGCCTATGTATCCATTCAAAGATTACTGTTTGTTTTTATCAACATTGCATGATTGTGTATGTAATAGTATTTCCCTTTGTTGTCTTTAACTCTTGTGCACCTCTCTGTATTTTCCTTTGCCTTGGTGATATTGTACTGAGCATCCCCTTATTGTATATTGCCTTCACTTCACCCAAATTAATTCATGTTTATCACCTAGTTAAGGATCTCTGATGGCTTAGTGGTTAAAGCATTCGGGTGCTAACCAAAAGGTCAGCAATTTGAACCTACCAGCCACTCTGCTGGGAGAAAGATGAGGCAGTCTGCTTCCATAAAGATTTAGAGGCTTGGAAATCCTATGGGGCAGTTTTTACTCTGTTGTTACCATAAGGAGTCAGAATCAACTGGATGGCAGTGGATTATCCAGTTAGTGATTTTTCCCTTCCCAACCCTCCCATCCCTGGTTAACTATCAAAGAATGTTATTACTGTGTGTCCACCTTTCCTGGACTTTTTATAATAGCAGATTCACAGTATTTGTCCTTTTGTGATTGACTTATTTCACTCAGCATAATGTCCTCTAGGTTCATCCAAATTATGAGGTATTTCAAGGATTCTTTGTTATTCTTTAATGTTACATAGAATTCCATCGTGTGTATGTACTGTACTTTGCTTGTCCACTTACCTGCTCATGGACATTTACATTGTTTCCATCTCTTTGCTGTTGTAATATTGTAGCAAATATGGGTGTGCATATATCTCTTTGTGTCTCAGGTCTTATTCTCTAGGATATATACCTAGCAATGAGATTGCTAGATCATATGATTTCTATTTTTAAGGAAGCGCCATACAGTTTTCCACTGCAGTTGTACCAGTTTATAGTCTGACTAGCAGTGTATGAATGAGAGTTCTAATCTCTCCACACCCTCACTAGCATTTGTTGTTTTTCTTATTGAACTTTGCTAATTGTTGGGGTGAGTTAATATCTCATTGTTGTTTTGATTTGCATCTCTCTAATGGTTAATGATCTTGAACATTTCTTCATGTGTTTTAGACCACCTGGATGTCTTCTTTGGTGAAGTGTCTGTTCATGTCTTCTGCCCATTTTTAAATTAGGTGGTTTGTCTTTTTGTTGTCAAGGTGTTATTTTCTATAAATTTTAGAGATTAGTCTTTTGTCACATATGTCATTCCAAAAGTTTTCTTCACATTCCATAGGTTCTCTTTTGGAGAAGTCTTTTGATGTATAAGTACTTAATTTTTAGGAGGTCCCAGACATCTGGTTTATCTTCTACTATTTGTACATTTTTGGTTATGTCTGATAGTCTATTTATGTCATAAATTAGGGCCCCTAAGTTTGCTCCCATTTTTTTCTTTAATGATCTTTATAGTTTTAGGTTTTACATTTAGGTCTTTGACCCATCTTGGATTAATTTTTGAATATGGTTTGAGGTATGGATCTTGTTTCATTTTTCTGCAAATGGATAACCAGTTTTGCCAGCACCATTTGTTAAAGAGACTTTCTCTTCCCCATATAATGGATTTCAGCCCATTGTCGCAGATCAGTTGTCCATAGGTGAATGGTTTTAATTCTGGGTTCTGAATTCTGTTCCTTTGGTCTATGTGGCATTGTACCAGAGTAAAAGGAAAAGGCTGGTCTTGACTTTATTATTTTTAAACTGAGTGGAATCTGATGAGAAAGAAAATTACTTTATTTCCTGTCCATCAATGCTAAAAAATCTTCAGATACCATCTACTGGTTTCTGCTCGCTACTAGTGAGTTTATGTTTTGTTTTTGTTTGTGTGTTTGTTATTTTTGATGTCTAAACCATTTGGGAGCTCTGGTAGCATAGTGGCTAAGACACTTGCCTGCTAACCAGACGGCTAGCGGTTCAAACCCACCAGCCACTCCTCAGAAGGAAGGTTGGGCAATCCTACTTCCGTAGTGATACTGCCTCAGAAACCCAAGGAGGGGTCGCTATGAGTCGGGCCCGACTCGACGGCACATAACAACAACAACAACAACAACAAACCATTTGGACATCTATTTATTTCATCTTGGTGACAGACACAGGATGGAGATTTGCCTTCAATTTAAAGCCAGGTTTTATATGCAAGATAGTGATTGTATTAAATGTGAGAGATTTCTGGTCCTCTTTATTACTTCTGCTGGAGAAATATCCATCTTTGTTATATAGTCATAAACCATTCACCATGCTGTGAAATCATGACCATTTTGAGTTAAGTTTTGTATGTCAAGTGAAGTATGGGTCCAACTTCATTATTTTGCATGTGGAGATCCAGTTGTCCCAGTGCCATTCATTAAGAGACTATTCTTTCCCCACCAAATGAATTTAGCACCCATGTTGAAAATAAATTGATAATAGATGTATAGGTTTAGTTTTGAACTTTCAATTCTATCTCATTGGCCTATATGTCTACCTCTGCACCAGTATAAACTGATAATTTTAATATTGTGTGGTACCTATGGGAGCACAAAAGACATGCACTTAATCCATTTTGGGGGCATCTTTCAGGGAAGGGAGCCCTGGTGGTGCACTGGTTAAATGCTAAGTTGCCAACTGTAAGGTCAGGAGTTTGAACCTACCAGTCC